ACACCAGTTACCGCTCCAACCCAGTAGCAATCTATCAACCCACTCTCCCCTACACACATCCAACACCAAACGGACACACACAAATTATGGCCGAAAACTGTATGCGTCTTGCAGAAAAAAAAGCCCTCCGGCGTGGAACAAAACCGGACAAAAAGGGTTAGGCAACGGGCCAGAAGTTGCAGCTGCAAAAAATATCAAACTTTATTTAAATTTCATATAAAATGTAGAAAAAAGAGGGTATAACAAGCTCTGAATGAGGGGGGGGGAGAAAAATGCTGGAGAAGAGAGTAAAATGCCTGCTGGCCGGGGCAGTAGGAATTGGTCACTTTGAGGGGAGGAAAAGGATGCTCAAGCGATCAGACAACCGGCTGCCCCTTGTCACCTGATTAGCTGAGAACCCTGATGAGGCACCCTGTTTCTCCAGGCGGCCAATAAGAGTACTGAGGTCGTTGAGACATTGGTCCACCACCGAGGACTCCGTGTTGAGGTCTTTTAGGGACGGAGATAAGTCCAGAAGGCGCTGAAATATGAGAGTGGTGGTCGAATGCAAAGAAAAAACCGGGCATATATTAACTGTGTTCAAAGGAGAGCTCATTCAAATGTCGAAACAAAGAAGCATATAAGGTAAAACGTTGAAGAAGCAGATATCAGCTTGAATTGGAGACAATTTGAAGATGACCTAATGTATAGTAGGTGGACTGTAGCCTGAAATATTAGCCAAAGTTTTGAAATGTATTTTCGCGTGGGAAGGATTATTTGCGTGGGATTGTAATCCGTGTGAAACTACTTTACGATTGGGGCTAAGAGTGCAATAAACATTTCATTTATAAGTTAAAGAAACTCCATAAGTAGATCATGTCGGATATGGACTGATCCCGTTTTGTTAATATTTATATTGATCTTGAATCCAGAGGTGTGGAATACCGGACAGGTAAAACAGCATAAAAATCGATAAATACAGGGCCTATCAATAAGTGGGGTAATGTGGAGCTCGGTTCGATTACCGCTGTGGCCTGGGCGCCCATGGGGCAGAATGAATCGCAGGCAGCAGCTCCGATTTTCGCTCGACTTCTACACACACAAACACAGGCCACCGCATCCACAACCGTACAAGACGACTGGCCGTACATGAATGCCTCCGTTTTTGAAGTCGCCTGAGGGGAGGGGGCGCGATAGCGTGTATTAGCATGGATGCACACAACAGAACGGAATACGAGCGTCCTCCTTCTTCCCCCCGCCCTGCCAATGCACAGCCATTGCAAGGAATGAAATAGTGACATTCGATTGGTACACGACTGCCACAAAGGAATTTGAACACTTTCAAGCGTTACCGACAACGCCCAGGTCCGTGGTTTTGGTAGTGCATTCGATCCGGGTCCACATTTCGGGACTTATGGACCTGGGATAAAGGTATGGCTAGATAACAAGCAGAACCAGCCATCCAGTCCACTCCTCTTCCACAAAAAATATTTTCTCGGCAGAAAGTTTACGTTTACGTGGTTATCCTACTGTGGCTGATGGAAATCGGTCTGTGCCCGTAGGCCCTTGAACATATTGATTCACACCAAGTTTAAAATAAATTTTTGAGGTCAATAAAGCAACACTTTTTAAAACTAGAGTATCTACCAGAAAACACACAAGAAATGAAAGAGAACGTTCGCGTTCCAGATATTTGCATCGGTAAAGAAGAAAAAGGTTCGAATACCGGATCGATTTGTTTATTATTCTGAGCTTTTGGACTCCTACAAGAGTCCACCGTCAGAGATAGGAAGCAGCAACAAATGGGGGCTAGTTAAAGCGTGTGTACAAAACAAAAGTTTTAACGCGTAGAAAATCAATAATTGTCTGGTGTGGGGCGCCGATTGGCCACTGCGGACTATGTTAGTCTGCGCCAGTAGACGAGATCGGCGTATTGGGTGGGAACATTTACAGAAATAAAATCGTCAACGAAAACGAGCAACATTTATAAGGGGGAGGGTTAATTAAACGCCATAGGGGAGGGGGATGGGACCAGTTAACCACCACTGCCGTGAGTCTGGAGATAACTTTGCAGGGTAAAATATGCGGGCGCCAGCTCGATACAGCCGTTGACTGAATTCCCGTCCGTGGACCAGGCATCAGTCAGTTCTCGGCCCATCTTGCTGCCAGCGTGGGCAATTATCCTCACGGCTGCGAAGCTGAACTCGTAACCCGTCTCATAGGTGTGGGTCACTAATTGCGACAAAGTGTCACCCCGTCGAACAGCCAGCTTGTGTTCAGATATGCGCCATCTGATCATGCATTAAGGTTGGCCTGTGTAATTACACGGACGGCTTAGGCATGTGATGCGATACACTACTCCAGACTGTTCATTCTGCGTAAGCCGGTCTTTTATTTTCATCACCCTGGTGCGTATGGTAGCTTTGGGTCTGTGTGCAATTCCAACACGCAGTCCCGCAGCGATGCGCTCCGTCAATTCTGAGACTCCCTTGATGTATGGTAGAGCGTGCCATATCCTCGGTGGTTCTCCCGTTTGGGTCCTCCGGGGCCGAACGCGTAGGCATCGGTTTATAAAAGTTTTCGGATAACTGTTCCGCATAAATTGGTTGCTTGTTTTCGTTGAGGATTTTATTTCTGGAAATATTCCCACCCAACACGATTTTATTTCTGTAAATATTCCCACCCAACACGCCGATCTCGCTTACTGGCGTAGACAGACATAGTCTGCAGTGGCCAATCGGCGCCCACACCAGACAATTATTAATTTTCTAAGCGTTCAAACTTTTGTTTTGTACGCACGCCTTAACTAGCCCCCTGCCCATTTGTTACTGCCTTCTATCTCTGACGCTAGACTCTTGTGGGAGTCCGAAAGCCCAGAATAACAAACAAATCGATCCGGTGTTCGAGCCTCTTTCTTCTTTACCGACACACAAGAAAGGCTAAGAG